TCATAATTATACTTAAGTTTACCGATGCCTTCAGTCTTAAGGAAATAATGATCAGTCCGGTCCTTCGTAATATTATACAGGACTGTGGTGCAGTTCTTCTCAGATAAATTTCCGATCATCTCTCCTTGGATGTCATTTTTAAGTGTTTCTTTAGATGAAAACACGATATTTTGAGAATGCCTATATCCTGTCTTCCACATTCCAACTGGATCTTTCAGATATTGATCATAGTCAGATGGAATCTGGAATGTGCAGGGAATCAGCACACAGGATCCATGCAGAGCTTGTATGTTCTGAGGCATCTGGGCTGACCAGGTACTGCACAGAGCCCCTATAATCATACCAAGAAACACTGCTGTACATTTACACAACAACAAATATGTGAGTATATTATATTAATGGCATAAGTTCTGAAATGCAATATATTAAATTAACCTTAATTTATTAAGTGTCGTACACAGAGGAAATATAATAGGAAAAGAGCCAAGTGAAGTCTGTACGACGGCCGTGTCTCACCTTGCAGCAGGCAGCCAATGAGAATGAATCTCTCAGTCATGACTCTCATCTGAGAAAAGCTTTGATGCTGGTAAACACTTGTATGTATACAATGACCTGCCAAAAGCAGAATTCTTCAAGTTCAGGGGTTCAATATTCATATATCATGTAATGAAAAAATGTAGGGAAAGAGAGAGAACGGCCAGCGGGACCAGCGTGTAAATCCAGGAACGAAACAGTCATTTAGGAATAAGTTACCCTTCTGACAGCGGTTATGTGCTATCAGTATAAACAACATGTATACAGTATACATACAGTATCTACATAAACTAATTTTCTTACTTCTAAATGCGCAGCATGAATAATCCAGTAGATAAAGTTTATTCGTAGATCGATAAAACACAACGGGATCTATTTTACATTGGCGCTAAGTGTAACGTAAAAAAGAGGTTTTGCTAGTTTTGTACTAGAGTATTGCTCATTTTCACACCATGCGCACATCATTAAAATAGCAAATGATTTTGTGCCCACTTTCTGCTCGTAGGAGTGTTATTTAAATGAGTCGCAGCCGGGCGCATTTTCGGCGCTTTGCTATTTTAAAGGCAGAGAAATTACATTGTGCTTTTGACTAATAGAAACTATGTCTAAAGTCAGTGGCACATTATTTAATGGTATTTAGGCAGCGCTTTTTATAAATGTGTGGAAGCACGATTCACGTTATTGACACAGGTATTTGCTCAAGGTGCACTTAAGGTTTTTTGTTATGTTATTTTATTTCATTTACGTATTTATTATAAAAAACACCTGGTCCTTTTCCGCAATCATACTTTTAATGAAAGACCAAAGGAAAAACAATACATATTAAGTAAAGAATAAACCATATCAATAAAATCTTTCGAGTTCATTATCAGAATTGAGCACGCACTGTGACTGAAAGGACATTTGGGTGCTGAAAATGCATATCACATATTAGATAAGTCAGGTGGAACATTACAATACAACCATCAGACGGTCGCAGCATTCTTTGTGGCATGTTGTATGTTGCATAACATTGTCATGCCTGATGGATGTCTGTTGGACATACAGTAAATAAGGACACATTGGAGGACTTTTGAAGGCGTGATGCTAAACTGCATGTGCCGATGCCAACAAAGGAGTGTGTGC